ACTTTAAAGAGAACCAGTTCAGGACCGGTATTAGAACTCCAAGCAAAATTACAGATTAGAAAATACAGAGGGAAAAGAAATTACATATACACCTATCTGCAATAACATTATGACCACCCGCCTAATCTTGAGTAGGTACCCCCTTTTTCCTGACCAGTCCAGGCATGGACTCCACTAGACCTCTGAAGGTATGTTGTGGTATCTGGCACTAAGCTGTCAGTAGCAGATCCTTTAAGTCCTCTAAGTTGCTAGGTGGGGCCTCCATGGATCGGACTTGGGTTTTCCAGCACATCCCACAGATGTTTGATTGGATTGAGATCTGGAGAAGTTGGAGGCCAAGTCATCACCTCAGTCTCTTAGTTGTGTTCCTCAAACCATTCTTGAACCATTCATGCAGTGTGCCGGGCACATTATCCTGCTGAAAGAGGCCACTGCCATCAGGGAATACCGGTTCCATGAAGGTGTGCACTAGGTCAGTAACAATGTTTAGGTCGGTGGTACGTGTCAAAGTAACATCCATCTGAGCAGACACTGTCTAGTATAACTAGTGCTGTCATGATGGTGCCGGGTGAAAGTCCTTGGTTCATGGTAAATTCTGACCGCAGTGGCCACAGGGGTTTGATTTATTGACGGTTGACCAAAGAACCCACCTGTAACTTATAGGTGCATCCTCTATCTTCCCATTTCTCAAAATTTTTTCCAATCACGGCACCCTTTTAAAAATTATGCAGAATTTCGAGACACCCCAATTGTAAAACGCATAAATGTAGAAGATGATGTGTGAACTTATCCCAGAAAGGTGTCTGGTGAGGATTTTAAGGAGGACTCCATGCAAAAATACAAAGTGGGATTTCTTCCATATCCTCAGGAGCCCCCCCTTACCATCAGAGTCCCCCCCTTGACATCAGGGTCCCCCCTTTGGCATCAGGGTACCGTCCCCCCCCTTCCGTTTGGCATCAGGGTCCCGTCCCCCCTTCCCTTTGGTATCAGTCGTCCCCCTTTCGTATCGGAGACCTAGAGGACCTCTCTACTCTCTCTAGCTCAGCGATCTTCTTGCTTTATAAAATGTCTCTTTTTTTTTTTTAAACAATAATTCTTTCTTGGGAATATAAGAGGAATGTACAGAGGATAACCTCGTAGCGGCACCTTGTATGCAGATCAAGATACAAGATAAGAGCAATATAAACAGCATAATAAAACAGGTATTATTAAGGCAAATTGTCGTATGGTATGAGCAGAAACATCTGTGCATGCATTGAACCACATTTAAGACCTGTGTCTTGAGCAAACCATACATAGCGATATATATGCAACATCAAGAGAACCGAAAACAGGACTAACATCCGCGGACTGTGTTGTTGTCTTTATTTTATGTTATAATACGGTTATAAGACTTTTTTCCCTCTTTTTTGTGGTATCACAGCTATTAAAGGAGAACTATGGGGTTAAGGCTTTTCCCCATAGTTCTCCTTAGGGTAACGGGAGGACACAAACTAGGGTCACCCTAGGCTCAGTATACCGCGAGCTGCTGCTCGCGGTATACTGAGACGCCACAGCTGAAGCGGATCCCGACAATTGTGCCGGGATCCGCCCAGCTGCGTGACTGACAGCTGGCTTTGCCTATCTAGAGGCAGAGCCAGCTGTAACCGCCCCCTCCCTCGTCCGATCTGCCAGTCAGTGCTGGCAGATCGGAGCGGGGAGTGGGGAATCCCACCCCTCCCCTGTCACGGCAGAGAGCCATGACAGGATCGAGAGGTGAGCGAACGCCGGTATGTGTTCGCTCACCTCCCGATCTACTGAGCCGACCTGTGACAGTCTCATTGTCACAGGTCGGCTAGAAATATGAGGTGAGTGAAAAGCACCCACCTCATAGTTCTTCTTTTTAATCTTCACATTCCAGGAATGTGACCACTTTACTATGGCATGGAATCTTTTTTTTTTTGCCGACTGATGCTGTTCTTATTCTTATACATCACATGTAGATGAGCGATAATTGCTTTTTAGAGAGAAGTGCTAAACCTCTGCACGTTGGAAGAGAGCGAGGCGTGCTAGCACACCTCAACGTGTGGAAGCTCCACGTTACCCATGCAGTGTTATTGGCCACCATTTGCATCATCTGGTTAAATATTTGTGAGCTTCCTCTGTGCTCCGTTCTTCATCCGCAGTGAACCATGGAACTCCAGGTCCCATCAGCTGATCTCTGACAAACCCCCCCGGATAGGTCGTTGAACTGTGTTTCAGTGTCTCAGGGAAGTTTGATTAGGCGGGAGGGTTACTGCTGTTTACAAAAACTGGACAAAATAATGTGAACCCCGGACAATTGGAAATCTGTGATGAATAATAGATAGAAGAAAAGGTTTTCTGTTTACAACTATTTGTAGATTCAGATGAAGGCAGCAAATCTGTATGCAAATCTCGGCTTTAAATAAGAACTCTGTGCCATTTAAAAATTAACCCTTTCTCTGGGGCTACCCCTACACTGCAAAGGTTCAGTGCTCGTTTTTGCCTAGTAGTCTAAAATAAAAAAAATATATATATATATATACTCGCCTTATCCTCGGCCCTGCAGCAATGACTCTGGAATATCCTTCGGCGTCCTCACATTCAATGCAAGTGAATGGACGTGATGCTTTGTGTATTTCTTCCACGTCTGAGCAGTAATCCGGTGTGAGACTTGGAGCTTCTTGTAATAAAGACCGGTCACTGCTGCTCTCTCCTTGTGCAGGGTGACTGGTCTTGTCTCCGCCCCCTCCTGTAATAAAGACCGGTCACTGCTGCTCTCTCCTAGTGCAGGGTGACTGGTCTTGTCTCCACACCCCTCCTGTAATAAAGATGGGTCACTGCTGCTCTCTCCTAGTGCAGGGTGACTGGTCTTGCCTCCGCCCCCTCCTATAATAAAGACCGGTCACTGCTGCTCTCTCCTAGTGCAGGGTGATTGGTCTGGTCTCCGCCCCCTCCTGTAGATTCCTGTAGTGGATGAGGCCTGCTGGGCCCCTCCTACAGCTCTGCTCTCTGCACAGGTTATATACAGCCCAGTGATGATGTCACCACTGCTTTTACAAGGTGATAGCTGGGCTTGCAAACCGGTCACTGCTGCTCTCTCCTTGTGCAGGGTGACTGGTCTTGTCTCCGCCCCCTCCTGTAATAAAGACCGGTCACTGCTGCTCTCTCCTAGTGCAGGGTGACTGGTCTTGTCTCCACACCCCTCCTGTAATAAAGATGGGTCACTGCTGCTCTCTCCTAGTGCAGGGTGACTGGTCTTGCCTCCGCCCCCTCCTATAATAAAGACCGGTCACTGCTGCTCTCTCCTAGTGCAGGGTGATTGGTCTGGTCTCCGCCCCCTCCTGTAGATTCCTGTAGTGGATGAGGCCTGCTGGGCCCCTCCTACAGCTCTGCTCTCTGCACAGGTTATATACAGCCCAGTGATGATGTCACCACTGCTTTTACAAGGTGATAGCTGGGCTTGCACAGGCATTTGGTGCACTTTATCTTCTTTGTGGCTATTGAGGAATATGTGTAAAGAAGGTTTCTGTGGCGGAGTCCAGCTTTTAGTCACCAGCGGCCTTCATCTAGAATGACAGATATATTTATAACACCTGCAAAGGCCTAGAGTTTGCCAAGTGCAGTATTGACCTTGTGCAGATTGTTGCCCGGTTGGATTCTGTTCAACCTGCTATACAGTCACCTGAAACTATTACAATGAGTTTCTACAGTCTGCAGTTTAATTAGGAATATAATCCGGGCATTCCAGTCTGATTCATGTGGGAAATTGTGTCATCTGCCACGCCTGGTTCCAGCGCAGATTTTGCCTGATCAGCATGTAAAGGAAAATTTTATTTTTTTAGCTTTATATGTATAAGAGATGAGGTTTATGTGGATAATCTTATCGGTATGTTATGTTTAAAAAAAATAATTAATTCTGTTCATAATTTGTATTAATCTATGCACACCGGGGGCAGCTATTTTTGCTCATTGCTTACTCAGGTTCTGCCTCCTGCTATGTAGTGCTGCACAGTGGTTGTGCTTTACTGCTCCTTCCACAATGGAAATCTATGTCTCTGCCGACCCTTTGAATATCTTCACCGTTATTAAATCTGAACTCCAGGATAAGGAAATATTTCCTTCATACCTTCATACAAGAGCCATGTATGTTCTTCCTGAATCTTGGTGAGCTTTGTGTATTTCTTCCAGATCTGTGCAGTAATCCAGTGTGAGACTTGGAGCTTCCTGTTATAAAGACCGCTCACTGCTGCTCTCTCTCCTTGTGCAGGGTGACTGGTCTTGTCTCTGCCCCCTCCTGTAATAAGGACCGCTCACTGCTGCTCTCTCTCTTTTGTGCAGGGTGACTGGTCTTGTCTCCACCCCCTTCTGTAATTTGCTGCAGGCAGCCTATAGTGGGTGGAGCCTCCTGAGCCCCTCCCACAGCTCTGCGCTCTTTGCACAGGTTTTGTACACCACAGTGATGACTTCACTGCTACTTTTATAATATATGTTTTCAAAGGTATTTAGTGCACACAAAGTGGATTTTTTAATCCTTTCTGGCTATTGATTATATTTAAATGAAGTCACAAATTCTGATTTGCATATTTGGACCAGATGAATGACTCAGAACCAGTGGAAGCCATTGGAACAAAATGACAGCTGGGCACCTAGCAGTTTCAGAATGAGAGGCTGGCAGGTCTTCTAGTGCAGAGTTACTTTATACTGGGCTCCAATCACCCAGAGCTCCACCAGCAGCAGAGGGCGCCAGAGTGCAGTGCTAATGGCAAAAATATATTTAGGAAATACAAAATATAAATGATTTGTGCATTGTGCACGGTCTTGTGGAAAAGAGACACTACAAGGAAGTGTCATCACTGGCATGCTCGTGTGAAATAAGCCAGAAATGTAATCTAGACTTTGGGTGGAGTTGGCCTTTCAGATGATCCATTTACACCAGGAGGTGCTAGCACTATCTATCTCTGTGTACTGTCCTGAATTTCTCTCTTCCTATGTTTCAGATGACAGCGCTTCGGCCTCCAGCAACATGGAGGTGACTGACCGCATTGGGTCATTGGAGCAGCGCGTCCAGATCCAGGAGGATGAGATCCAGCTGTTGAAGTCTGCCTTGGCTGATGTAGTGAGGAGGCTGAAGGCATCAGAGGAGCAGCAGGCACTGCAGAACAGGAAAGGACCCACCAAAGGTGTGTTAGTGTGTCTTTGTCACTATGGGGTTCATTTATAAAAGTTCCATCCAGCGTATAGCCAGGTGGATGCCGTTCACATGGCACTAGCGCCCCTACATGGTGATGACGAGTATAGGAACTTCCTATCCTTGTCAGCGTCATCTGGGGGTGCTACGGTAGTGCCCTGCAAGCTCCTATTTATCCATTGTGATTACCATACACGGCCTGCCCTGGTGCAACAGTTGCCTGAGAGATTGGCGAATATCACTTTTGCTTTTTTAATGAGAAGAAGAATGTAAGGTGTTTTAATACAAAAATGGTCCATATAGTAGAAATGGTGCAAATTTGTTCAGTTTAAGGTTGCATTGCAAGCAACAGTATCAAGAGAATAGAAGTTTGGCCTTTGCATATGGAAACGGTTCTTCATGGTAAGAGCTGAGAAGATGTAGAATAGTCTTGGTAGTAATCATAAGGATTGAAACGGGTCATGTTTCCTTTGTTGCCAATGCTTTGCTCATGCTGGGCAAAGAAACTGGTTAGGTTTAAAGTGTTATTACACCTTTTGGTCCTGTTGAATCTTGTGAGCTGCTAATTTCTTGTTCCCAAGGAAGGGTTGTGCAGATGAGGAGATGGGTTTATGGAGATGAGGAGGGGTTATGAGATTAGGAGGAGGGGTTATGAGATTAGGAGGAGGGGTTATTTTTTGAATTAATATATATTTATTTCAAAATTTCAAATTACATATAAATTTACGTAACACATTTATGTACATATACATACATACATACATACATACATACATACATTCATGGGAGAGGGAGAGGGGGGGAAAAGAAGTCCAAATGTTAATTGAATTAATGCCCATAGGAGGAGTGCGTAGATATTTCTATTTATTCCTCTGTCTCTTGAATTTAAATACTATATTCTTCATAAATTCTTACCCCACCACCCATAGTAAGTGAGTGTATTCCTATTTCTATGTGTTCCCCTTAGAGTATATATATCAACCTATAAGTAGTAGAGTGTGAGTCCTCCTCCTATAATTAAACCTATAATTCCATTTATTCTTATACATTGTGTACTCATCCAACTGTGTATTCTAACTACTTGTGTTCATCTATGTGATGTGTTACCCTTTAATACACCTAGAATTCTAATTTCTAGGCCCTGTGAAAATATCTCCTACCCCCTTTTTACTTTTAAATAAATAAGTTTATTCTCCTTCGGACTTCCCTTCTCCCCTTATTCTACCCTCCTTCTTCCCCTTACTCCCATACATATAGGTTAAATGCATTTGTAATTTGTTTAAACAATAAAACCAAATATTGTTTAATAATCTAACCGATCACTTTGTTGGCTGTTATGTTTCCCCCAGGCATCATAGAGATTTCATCTCTGTATCTCTTCCTATCCTCTCTGTCTTTTATTATCAAGCTCCTGAATACTTCAGACTTTCTATAAGACCCCCATTCCTCCCAAATATACTTATGTTTGTCAATATTACCGTTGTCTTTTGCAATGAATTCCTCCATGTATCTTATTTCTTCCATCGTGGTTTCCCACTTCTCCAATGAGGGAGGAATCCTTGATTTCCAGTCCCGTGATATGTTGACTCTTGCTGCGACCATCGCGAATCTCAGAATATCTAGCTTTATCTTTTTTAAAGGACCAGGGATCAAGGATAATAATGCAATTGTGGGGTTATTTTCCAAATTTAGTTTACCTATAGAATTATAGACTTCGAATATTGACTCCCAAAAGATATAAACTTTAGGGCAACTCCACCAAATATGCAGGTATGTTCCCTCCTCTGTATTACATCTCCAACATCTGAATGGACATGAGGGGGAGGGGTTGTGGAGGAGAGGTTGTGGAGGAGAGGTTATGGAGGTGAGGTGGAGGAGAGGTTATGGAGATGCGGAGGAGGAGAGGTTATGGAGATGGAGGGAGGGTTTGGAAATGAGCAGAGGTCTGTGTTCGTTGCTACCCATCAGAAATGAAGCGGGCAGGGCTGACACCACATATTTGGGATTTCAAAGGTCAAAAGACAAGTATTGCCAGCTCAAACAGAAAGATACCAGCCCCCTATATTTCCGGCACATCAACGGCTGTTTCTCTGTACTGGCAGTATGTTTAAAGGGATCAAATGTGGGTAACTGTGCATGTATTGCAGAGATGTATTAAAAGAAGTATAAATATCAATTATTTTTTGCTCAGACATGCTCTTTAAGGCAAACACTGCAATAATAATTCAAAAGATGTGCTCACCTAAAATACACTGTACTTTCCCTTTATTTTATTTCCCTTTCCCTTGGGTATAGATAAGGTGGCAGTTTTATAGAGACAAGAAAACACTCCGGTAGTTGAACCGTGCTTGTAAAGTTCTTTATTACAGTCTGTATAATAGGGTGAAAGAGGCACTAATGAGTGAATAAATAGTATATTATTGTTTTGTGCCTTGAAGAAGTCCCGAGGAGTGTTAGGAGCCCTGATAAAAGCTGCTATTATCTACACTGCTTTTGTCTGGAGTCAGTGCGGTGTGTGTTAACTTTTATTAGGCCTTCCATAAGCTGTTCCCGTGGAATAGGAGACGGAAGAGGAAACGTAATAACACTGCGTGCCATAAACGTTGTCATAGAACGCGCTTGTATGCTGTAGACCTAACGCAGGGGCGCCCACTATTTTTCGTCTGGAGATCTACTTTTCAAATGATGAGCTCATTGAATCCCACTTGAGAAACTCATGCATGAACAGAACGTGATGTAAATCACATCCTGTTCATTCATTTATAACTGGGGACACATAGTACTATGTGTCCCCAGTTATTTACAAACACTGGAGTGATCAGCCGATCGCTCCAGTGTTTGTCCTGCACAGAGGATTGGTACATACTACTGACATGTACCGATCCTCTGCCGCTCGTCCACGCACAAGGGGGCTCAGCTTCTCCTCTGCATCCCCCTGCTCTCCCGGGCAGAGGCAGCGGGGGATCCGACGAGAAGTGAAAGAGCACTTCAGCCGCGGGGGGCGGGGCCGCTGACAGAACGGACGAGCAGTGAGGGGAGAGAGAGGCGTCGACTACGCGATCGACTGGTAGATCGCGATCGACCCTGTGGGCACCCCTGTCCTAACGTATTAACACCTTTCTTATGGTCTTCTTGTGGAAGGGTGCATTATGTGTAAGGAACGTTTTATTGCTCTGACAGTGAACATTACCCAGGATCGATTTTTCTTCAGAGGGAAGTGAGCATAGATAGGTGAGTATACCTTGCTACAGAAGGGCAGTTCCTATTATGAAGCCAAATAAATAGCCAAAGTGAGAGTGTCTGTTTAAATCTATAGTAATTTGGATGTTTCTATGATCCTACCCTTGTATAGCATATTCTCTTATTTTTATTTTTTGTTCTTGTCCCTGTTGTAAAGATTTCCTCTCATGTCCTGGTCCAAGGGCCACTACCCCTGGAACCAGACATGAAGGTGTTCTCTAGACATTTGCTTAGTTTAGTTTTGATTCGGATTTTGCGTTATTTAGTTTTTCGAGATTCGGGTTAGAAAGTCAATTAGTTTCGGGATACGGGTTCGGACGAAATTCGTTAGCGTTAGTCTGTATGAATTGTCGTTTCGTTCGTTGCAGCAAAGTGACATTTAAGGGGAAAAATATTTTTTTTTTCCCTCAAATGTCACTTTGCTGCAACGAAATTTCCTCCAACAAACAAAATTTTGTACAGACCACCGCTAACTAATTTCGGAATCGGAAATTCGGATTCGTTTGCATTCGTTATATCTGTAATTCGGATACATCCGAATCTCTGAAATTTCGTCCAAATTTCGGAATGAAACGAATCGCACATGTCTAGGGTTCTCTGTATTGGAAGCCCAGACAGCATAATTGTAATAAACTCAATATTATTACCTAGAGGTTCATGGCGGGGAAACATTGTACAAGGTTTGTTCTATTTTTTGGTTCCTCCCTTAGAGTGTTTTGTATTACATTACCTCCTTTTTTTTTTCATGGAAAATGTGAGGTGTTATCTTCTTTATACAGCATCTGCTGCTGGGAAGGAGAAACCAAAAGGTAACAATGGAGCATCATCATCCAGAATAAAAGTATACAGTACTGAAACAGAATGCCTCCAACGATGCATGTGGTGTTTTTTTACAACTGTAACAAAATTGACTGATTGTGATCGGGAAAATAAAAAAAAAAAATATTTCGTAAGATTGTTGTTTAACCCGTCTTGCTGTGTGTTTTTTTTTTTTTTTATAATCCCCTTACTTTCATTTATTTTTAATCTATTTCCCAGCACTTCAGTTATTACCGTATCTCCAGCATTGTCCCCTGCAGACAACTCTAAAGTCATTGGTCCTCATCTGGGTTGAATGATGCCCAGTTTCATTCAACCTGCTTCCTATAAGCCCAGGGCCTCAAGGATACACCCCCTTTAGGTACGTTATATAGCTGGCCTGGGTTCACAGGAGAATGCTGTGGGTAGCAGTGCCACATCATTATATGGTCTTGTTGACTCCAGCATTCAGGACCCATCCACTGCCAGAGGAAGAGGACTCGTGATCTCATGTGATTGGCCTGGAGATCCTTGCGAAAAAGGTATGCATGTATGTAAAGGAAAAAAAATAAATGGTGTGGGTGGGAGGTCTCCAGGCTTTATTAAGGGTTTGTTCCCTTCAGGGCAGGTTAACACCATTTTCTGGACCAGATCTGGAACGCAGTGCATTGGGTTTTTGCTGTGATTTTTGCCACGTTTGGGAAAAAAAAAATGTTTCCGCTTAAAATGGTCTTACAGGTGCGTTCCAGTGCGTTTTTATGCGTTCCAGTGCATTCCAGACAAAATAGGACAAGCAGTATTTTTCTGGTCTGGTCTGGAATGGACTGCGCTGGGGTGAACAGAGGCCAGAAATAGCATAGGGATACATTAGGATGCATTTTGGGTCCGGAAACAATCTGGTCTGGTCTGGAGATGATCCGGACATGGTGTGAATGGGCCCTGAAGGGTCGGTTCATCCAAAACAGATTTTTCATAGTACTCTGAGAAATGTATGAGGTGTCATTGCTGACATCACAGTGGAAATGTTGGCTGCCGCTGTCTTTTTAATACATTGAGTCACTTACCCAAAACAAATATGCAGAAGAGAGAAGTCAAAGTGAAGTCGGAATGATCTGCATACTGTATCACCATGGCTGCCAGGGAACTAGCATTATCAGGAGAGATCAGCAATGGCGGCCTACATGCTTCTTTAACGCAGGTTCGGCGTGAACCCAGCCCGGATCTGGGGTCCTTCTAAGTAGGGAATTCCTCGCCTTCAGCTAGAAGTAAGCAAAGGGTCAGGATGCAGTGACATAATTGACCTTATATGGCTACATGTCTATATTTGGTAAAGTACATTAATGGCAATGTGGCCATATAAGGTAAATTATGTCAACACATCAATCCCGCCTCTTTTTTTACATGCAGCTGCCGATCGGGGATCACCCAGCCCCTCAGCTGATAGGGTGGAAGTGCCCATGCTTGGAGGAGCTTGGGTTTGGTCATCTCCATTTAATACAGGCTTCCTTTAAGCTCCCTTTTACTGCTAGGACAGATTTTTAAACATTCCCCCCTTTACATCTTCTTAAACAGGATTGGGTTGTTGCTGATGTGAACATAACACCTACTTGTAACATTAAACCTGCCTTGTCACACATTACTGTTGCTGGTTTTTATTTTGTCAATGACTGTGAAGGTTTCATCAATCCTTTTATTCCAGCAGAACACTAAATCGCTTTTTTTAATTTATTTGATGTTCTGCTAACTAACAGTATGCTCGCTATCGAAAAACTAAATGGCAGATAGAGTGGCTGATATGTTTGTTTGATTTTTACAGCTAGGCCCTTGCCACTGAGGACAACAGTAAACAGCGAGACCATCTTACCAAAGAAGCCTACCGGCTCTCTCCCATCTCCGTCAGGGACCAGGAAAGACATCGTTCCGCTAGCATCCAAATGGTGAGTGGACCAGATGGAGAACCTGATCTAGGGCCGGTGCTGTGTTTGTCACCTACAGGGGTCCCAGTTTCCTGTGCAATCCTAGATGCAAGAAAACTGAAGCAAGAGTCTGATTGTGTTTTGTTTTTTCCTTATTGCTTGAAGGAGAACTATGGGGAGAGTGAAATCCATTCATCCCCATAGTTAGTGCTGGTGTGTGACACTGCTGCTCTCACACGTCGTCTGTATAGTTCAAGAGCTGAACAATCACAAACCCCCTATCCCTTGGATCTTCTTCCTGCAGAGAGCGTTGCCTGTCAGTCATCTCCCTGCAGGGATTCCCCCCTCCCCTCTCCGTGGCTCCAGTGCTGACTTTAGGGACAGACAGAGGAGGGGGCGGGCATGGCTGGCTCTTGAGAGGCAGCTGTCAATCAGTTAGGAGGGTGGATTCTGACAATATTGTGGGGATCTTTCCCGGCTGCAGCGCGGCTCTGCATTGTCGGCATATAGCATGCAATAGGCCGCTATTTGCTGAGTTTTGAGTCACAGGAGGACATTAGTAAATGTCCTCCTGTGACCCAAAAGAGAACTAACAGCCAATAAAGGTTGGGCCATAGTTCTCTTTTAAAGAAGGTCTTTACCCTTTTGTTTTGATTTGTTTGGAACAGTGATGGTGCAAGTCTGTGGGACTGACTCTACTTACCTTGGCAAGTTTGCCATCTGGATACTGCTGTGCATGTTCTGCTGGTGATCTCCTCTCAGCGCTGCTACTGATCGGTTAGTAGGCTCTGCTGGCTTCCTCATGGGCGGGAGCATTAGGGGGAGTCGTGAGGTGGAGAAGTCCCAGGCTTGCCAAACACTTTCCATCTGAATGAAAATTAATCTTTTTTGCTGAAAGATTTTTTAAGGATTTGAAATAAGTTTCTGAAAATAATAAAATATAAAGAGAATGAACAGACTATAGTAGCTTGACTAACAAAATACAATTAAAAAAAAGTGTTTTTGTTCGCTTTTTGTTAATATTTACTCCTCCTTTTTAATAAAAAAAAATATATATTTGTGTTTTATCTGTTTTCTCTCTTTTCTTCGGATTGGGCATTGTGCTCTGCTGTAGATATATTAATACTAATCTCTTTAAAGGAGAAGTATGGGGGTCAGTGTTTTTCCCCATAGTTCTCCTTAGGGTAACGGGAGAACACAAACTAGCGTCCTCCTGTTACCCTAAGCTCAGTATACCCCGAGCTACAGCTCACGGTATACTGAGACGCTGCAGCCGGAGCGGATCCCGACTTAGACGTCGAGATCCGCCCAGCTGCGTGAGTGACAGCTGGCTCTGCCTATCTAGAGGCAGAGCCATCTGTACCCGCCCCCTCCGTTCCGCCAGTCAGCGCTGGCAGATCGGAGCAGAGAGCTGTGACAGGATTGAGAGGTGAGCGAACGCCGGTATGTGTTCGTTCACCTCCCGATCTACTGAGCCGACCTGTGACAGTCTCATTGTCACAGGTCGGCTAGAACTATGAGGTGAGTGGAAATCACTCATCTCATAGTTCTCCTTTAACAGACTGAACGGCAGTATATGTATGTTGGGATAGCTCTGTGTGTCTGTGCTCTTTTGTCGATTGTGTGCTGACATGTCCTTGCACTCATTTACACTCTGCTTCTTTCCTGCATCATTCTGGCTGTAGCAAGTCTGTGCGTCTCATGAATACATGTAAAATAACTAAAGCCACATCCAGGTAAATGCTTTTCACTACTTTCCTTTCCACTCCACACAAACAGCCTGATTGATTGTAAAGTTTTACTGAATTTTTAGGATTTAGTTTTAGTGACCTTAGACTTGGCATCCTCCCTATAAAATGTATATTTTAATTTGTAAATGCAAAAGCTATAGGAATGTATACAGTGTGTGCAGCATCAATGTGCTTACACAGCGCGGAGACTCCATGATTGATTTTCAGTGGGTGATGTCATCGGAAGACCGGTATGGGGATGCAAATCCTGGCAAGCTCCGGATGTTCCAGCTGCAAGCAGAGTTTGTTGATTGCAATCCCCCTCCTGACCCCTCATTGCATTCATGGCTTTCACACAAAGCTGGTTTGGGTCGGAGAATGGCAATACTTTAAGGGCAAATATATTGTACACTGGCCTATAAAAAAGGTATCAACAGTGGAAGCTTGTTATGTGTTAATTACGTAGGCAATAATTGCTGAAAATACCCAATAAAAATAAATGACTCATGACGATATTCTTGGCTTCAGCACTTTGTAACTGACTCAAACAAGAATGCAGCAAGTACAGTCATGGCTCCTAATTGGCATACTCTTTCCAGGTTAGTGACTGAGAAACTGATAGAGGAGCAGCATGGCGGCTAGGCAGCTGGTATTTTCAGAAGAAGGCAACTCGCACATTGCTCTCATGATAGGTTTTCTTTAGGGATGCAAGTAGGGATGCACCGATACCGTTTTTTTGGTATCGAGTACCAATATTTTTTTTTTTTTCCCATTAAGGAATCCGAGCGGCATGTAATGACTCGCCGCTCAGCTACCCGATTAGCAGGGAAGCCGTCTCCATGCTACCTCGTTTCTAGGTGACGAGAAAGCATGGAGCCGACTTTCTGACCAATCGGGAACTGGGGAGGCGGGTTATGACTCACCGCCTGACTTCTTGATTGTCCAGCTTCCCAAACAATCGGGTTGGTCAGGAAGCCGGCTACATGCTCCCTCGTCACTAGGTGACGAGGAAGGATGGAGCCGTCTTTATGGTCAATCAGTAAGCCGGGGGGTGGGCAACGACCTGCCACCCGGCTTCCTGATTGGCCAGCTTCCTGACCAACCACAAAGCTGGGTGGCAAGTCATTACACACCGCCCGGCTTCCTGATTGGCCGGGAAGCCGGCTCCATGCTCCCTCGTCAAGTGAGCTTCATGCTCCCTCGTTAGTAGGAATCCCAAATCTGCTGTTTACAGTTGGCAGCGATCACCCATTCAAGCTAATGATCGGGTGACAGCGGCCGCATATGAAAGCGGCAAAACTCAGGCACACCGCATGTAATCGTATGTAATAAGATCAGGAATCAAACACTAATCCTGTATGCACAATCAATGACATCACTATCCCTGGACACACAATCGTTTCAAATGCGGCCGCTGTTACCCGATCATTAACTTGAATGGGTGACAGCTGCCACTCGTAAACAGCTGATTTGGGATTCCTGCTGCAGGAAAATGCAAGTTACCGACGCAGGAATACCAGATCGCACCTACATTGTAGTAGCTTTGGTCCCTGTTTACTTTAAAGTAAAAATATGACGACTGCAAAGGAAGAATCAGAATAGTTTCCTTGGCCTACCCAGATTGGGAGAATTCTTCAATCAGGCACGGACTTTTTTATGCCAATAGAAACATTCCTCTGTGAATATGAATGAGAAAAAAAATGATGGAAGGTGGAGACAGGAATTACTCAACATAACCAGCAGATATGTAACACTGTACAGAAAACGTTTGAGGAAGACCGGAAACTCCTGATTTCTGTAATTCCATGCATTCCAGTGGTCATAGCGGTAGACGTTTACAAAATGTGACAGTTGAGGGCTACAAATATTTGCAATCCCATTTCCACAAGTTTTGCTTTTCACAGGTTTTTATAGATTGGCCCCAAAGTATAACAAAGATTCCAAGCTGATATCTCCTCAGTCATCACTCAGCAATCACCATCATCTACTTGCCAAGTATCTCCAAATGCCACGTTCACATGTTTCAGACCACATCTGTTTCTTAAAGGGAAACTCCATTTTATATGCTTTTGCCCGAATTGGTAATCTGAGCCAGGGCAAAGAATGATCAGTTTAGGAATATGTGTTACTTACCGTAGTTATACCAGGTCTTGACATTTTTTTTAAGGTCAACAT